CCGAAACCCCAAACCCTAAAGCCTAATTCCTGAACCCCAAATCCTAAACCCAGCAGGTCGATTTCATCAGCAGCACGGAGAAGAAGTACGACACAAGGCCGACAGCGTGTAATCCGAGTGGAATATCCCGGCAAGCCCGAGTGCTGCCTGCCAGCACCGGTACTGAACACCGAACACCGTAGGATGGTAGATCTTCTTAGATCCAGAACCCTAGAGGCCCTGCAAGCGCTGTTAATCCAAACTGGGCCCCTATCTCATATTCAATCTTGAGCAGATGTGGGCGATTTGGGGTGTTCTGCATTTTGGGTTGAGCACCGTTTGGAATCCATGCTCGACGATCTTGAGCATTAAGGCGTGAGGGCCTTGTGTTTGATCTAACATGTGACATAGGCCAAGGGCATGATGTAGTATTGTACTTGGAGGTTCATCGGTAGTTATAAGTAGGGTTACAAGAAGGGTAACTATAATTACAACCTATATTAGGGGACTTATAACTCCACTTATAACTACCCATGGACCTCCAAGTAGAATGACGAGAGAAGCAGGCGTACTTGGTTGCCGAAATCGGGTTCCCTGCAATGATCAGAGCCGTGTTCTGGTGACCCTAGCGGCTTGCTCCCCCCGTGCCGCAGGCGCTCCCCCCGAAGAGTAGAAGACGTCAATGTCCCAGCATTGGAGTTCCGAGATGAAAGAACCCTTGTCTTCATTAGTCAACGGATTTGGTGTATTTGCGACCGAGTAAATGCCCGACAGCAGCCAACAGCTTCCGGTAGCACCAGAAGCGAAATCTCTTAACCGTTTTGAAGGTTGAGGGTTCAGGGTGAGCTCTGTATACGAAGCCCGAAACCCTAATATAGGGCCCTTAATAATTACCTATTCTATTTTGCGGTTCCTTACTATAGTTATAATATAATGTACCCCTCTTCTAACTATTAAGGCCCCCATATTAGCCTAAATACCTTGACCTTGACTATATACCCGAATACATCAAGTCCTCACACCCGAAAGTCAGAGACCCCGAAATCCTCCGCCCCAGATCAGGCCCTGTGATGTAGGGGCCTTAACGCTTTTATTTAATGGGTTTGTGATAAGTTATATACGTACGTATAGTTTAAACACTTAAGCCCCTATCATGGCCCTAGGGTAGTGTTGATAATGTTCGGGCTTCTATGTTAACTCGCGCATGGTTGCATCCCAAGTACTAGCAGAACACGCCTTGCAACTTGTGGAAGAAAAGCCCGCAACATCCAACCACTGCTTACGCATCTGTTGCGATTTTGGAAGGGTGTTGGGCAGCTGTAGTGGAAAAGATAGCTCGGATTGCTCGCAGCCTCACATGAGCGGCCTAGTCTCTCACTTTGCACCCTCCTGGCGCTCTGGAAGCCACCTCAAGTTCCTGTAGAGTCATAAGAGATCTTAGATCTTACGGGTATATAACCCTGAACCCTAAACCCTAAACCCTAAACCCTAAACCCTAAACCCTAAACCCTAAACCCATGAGCCTTGAAAGTCCGAGCGCGCGACCCCTTAGCGCCAGGCTCTCCGTTGACTTAGAGGGCGTGGGGAAGGACCCAGTTGGGCTTTGGAATTTCAGGCTTACACATGTTTCTTCTGGTTTACGGTTTAGGGTTTAGGGTTTAGGGTTTAGGGTTTAGGGTTTAGGGTTTAGGGTTTAGGGGGTGAGGGTTTTTAGGAATCAGGGTTTTCCGTTTGTGGACCCAAGATTGGGTTAGAGGATTCGGATTTCGGGCTCCGGCTGCAGGGTGTAGGGATGAATGTTGAAGGCATCTTCTGGGCTTGAGAGATGGCTGGGGGCCCTTTAGGGAAATTACCTTCAACAGTTTATGTCGAGGCTTCTTTTCGGGCTCTTCGTCGAGCACAGTGATGGAGAGTCGTTAGAAGGGCCGTGTGCAAGGCTCGCTGGGGCTCGTTCGCTCCCTCTCTCTCTCCCTCTCTTTCTAGCCGGGTCTAAAGCTGTAGACTCTACACATGTATAGCAGCAGATGCGCCTGGATCATGCCTTCTCCGGTTTCATGAAGTTTGGGGCTTCGACGTTTCAGGGTTGCAGAGCTGTTGAGCATAGGATATATTCTTTTCGAGATGAGGTCTGAGGAATTTGTGTCTGTTCCTCCCCCAAAACCGATCTGCTTGTGAAGGCCCGACCATCAAAACCCGAAGCCCTGAACCCTAACCCCAAAACGTTCCAAAAAGTCTGCCCATAGACCTTTCGAAATTCTAGCCAGTACTCCACACCCTGAACCCTGAGCTTCACCCTCCTAACGGATATCGATACTATTGGCGCTTAAATACCTACCAACACTATTTTGGGGGACCCTTATTACAAGTATAGTATAGTATAATACCCCAAAGCCCCATTCTTAATTTTCAGGCCCCCTGTTTTTGGCATCCCCAAAGGCTTGAAGCCCCCGTTGAGGGTCCTTTGAAGTCCCTGAAAACCCTAAACCCTAAACCTTAAACCCTAACCCTCAACCCTAAACCCTAAACCCTTGAAAGGAGCTCCTATCCATCCCGATTTTCGCCCAGTGTGCCGTGCCGACGGTCTGGGTCTCGAGTGAGTTTACATCCGTGATAGTCCCAGAATAGTTATTTCCCGAAATTTCCGATAGTCGCCCTGTTCTAAGTATCCATGAAGACGACTTAAAGTGTAGAGGTAAGGTTTCTTGACGAGGTCTGCTCCAGGTGTAGGGACTTGGTGTTTACGGTCAGGGGCTTGGATTTAGAGTTTGGGGGGTAGGGTTTAGGGTTTGGGGCTTTCCGTTCGGTCTAGCGCCAAAACCCCAGCAATGCCGGCAGTGGCATGGCGCCACCAAGGTCTCGTTCGAACCGCACGGCTGCCTAAACTACGGCGATGTTTTCATCCGGCCCCGAGCTCAGGGGGCTACTTAAGTCTAGGACATCTTCAGGTGGGTAGTTACCATTATAGGAGCCTTATAGAAGGTCTGTATACTTTATGGAAGCCGAAAAAGAAGCCCTATATATCCCAAACTCCCCACCTGTAGTTTCCTCTAATTAAAGGGTCATGGACCTTGGTTAGAAAGGCTTTAGAGATGGCAACGGTAGTCTGTAGTTATATTCATTTTTCACCATAGCCCCAACTTATCAGCTGCTTATAACCTACTTGCTAAGAGGCAGGGCTATCGAACTGGGAATCGACTCGTTCGGTGCGCTTCAGGTTGAAGCTTAATATAGAATTTGGGGTTTAAGGCCTAGGCTTTTGAAACAATTACCAACACCATCCATTCCGGGCTCCTGAACATACTATCTTATACTGGATCCAAAGCCAAAGTCTAATTCTTCAGGCACCTTTCATGGGCAAGAAGGCGCCTCGAAACGAACCTCCCGCACCTGACCCAGTCCCGAAATGAGAGTCGGCAGTGCACCTAACCCTAAACCCTAAACCCTAAACCCTAAACCCTAAACCCTAAGCCTAAACCCTAAACCCTAAACCCTAAACCCTAAACCCTAAGCCCTGTTGGAACATTATAATCCTCATGCCCTTACGGTAAAGTATAGAGGCCAATCACCAAGCAATGTAAGTGCCGAAAAAATTACCAATGCTATTTTAGGGGGTTCCTTGTTATGGGTATAGTATGATAGCCCCCAAAACCGTATTCTGATTATTAGGGCCCCTACATTAAGAGTTTCTATTTCAGCGATACCATAGTCTACCGCAAGCTTCTGTTCTAAGTAGTAAGGCTCCGGTATTATCAGCTTGAAGCCTTCAACCCTGTTCCGCAGAAATCATCCTGGAAGCGTCCCAGATCCTAGTCGGTTTAGGGTTTAGGGTTTAGGGTTTAGGGTTCAGGGTTTAGGGTTTAGGGTTAGCTCGAGGTATCCGTTCCACCAGTCCCTGTACTTGCACAACACCTCCGCGCGCCGCCTCAGAACCCCATTGCTGAGAACATCCGGCGTTGGGTGTGTCATTCCAAGCCTTTCAAGGCAAAGCATAAGGGTAGTTCTCGAAAATAGGGTCCCTTTTGGTGCCTTACTATATTAGGGATCCGAAAAGGGAACCTAATTTAGAGAACAACCTATAAGGGGTCCGAGCCATGGTCATCCCAAATCCATGTTCCAGCTTTCTGGGGCTCACTGTACGTCATCATGCTCTAGCTGCGAAGGGAGGCAAAAGGGACTTGCGCTATTTCGGTTTAGGGTTTAAGCGGCACGGGCTGCAGGTCGTTTTGCTGTCGTAGCTGGTATCGGAGCCGTTTGACAAATGCATATCGAGCGAATTCTCTTTGTCGTCTCGTGTTCATCGGTAGGCCGGATGCGATATTTGTACCACAAGAAGACCTTAGGGTTCAAGGTTATAGGGTTAAATATAGGGGCCATAATAATTGCCTATAGTGTTTGGGGGGTTCCTTATCATATTTATAGTATAACATACCCCAAAAACCTTCTTCTAACCATTACGGCCCCTACATTAGTGCTTCGGACTTAGGGTTTGGGGTTCAGAACCAGGGGGGACTGTCTTTCCCAAGCAAAGCCACCGGAGCCTAGAGTTTCCTGAACTAAGACCCATTGGCCCAATAGCCTAATTAGGGGGGGCCTTGCGGGATAATGTAGGGGCCGAAATAATTACCAATACTAGTTTGGTGGTTCCTTATTCCGGATATGGTATAATGGGCCCCAAAACCCGATTCTAAATA